TTGGAATTCCTCATCGTCATCGTCCTCATCGTCCATCTCATCCTCGGCCTTCAGCTTCTCGGCCGCCTCCTGGAAGTCGATGGTCTTGCCTCGTGTCCGACGACCTCCAGAAATGATATTTTCCTCAGAGATGGGTTCGAGATTGTCGTGGTCATCATCGTCATCATCTGTAGAATGGTTAGGTTAGCATGACTAGCCCTCTGAAATAGTTCCCGCGAAGTCTTCCAGAAATGGAAAGAAGAGAGGAAAAGGAAATATGGGTTTAGAAGCACATACCGTCCGCCATCTATGAGTAGATGAGTTAGCTTGAGCGTCTGAGTAGTACATCACATGGGGCGATGCGAACTCACCATTTCCTCAGCTTCGCTTTCATCACTGTCCTCTTCCTCGTCCATGCTCATTTCCAGGGAAGGCTCATCAGCGGCCTTGCCCTTGCCCTTATCCGCAGCGGCCGCATCGGGAGCATTGGCAGCAGGATCGTTGCTGAGAGTAGCCTGGTGGTTGTCGCCCATTGTTGGTTTGTTTCGAAGTGTCTCTGAGTACAGATATTAGGAGAAGTAGGTGACAGAAATGAGTACCTTTAAAACAGGGAGAAACAATTGCAAGGAGACTTCCAAAGAGAGCTTGAGAGGGAAGTGCAGAAGGACCTTAAGTACTGCACGGAGTGCAAGGATGGAAATTAATGTCGTTGAGGAATGGTAACAACAAGAGCTGCGGACAGGAAACCAAAAACACATCAACCGCAAGGGAGATGCACCATCCCACGAGTCCCCGGGCGCTGATTGGCTGATCACAGGATTGATCAGCACAGCTCTCTCTTGTGATGCGCTATACCTTTTCAGGATTGATTATTTAAGGCCTGGGGCTCATGGAATTCATACCGCTGCTCAACAAGGGGAGCAGAAACGCAGATGGAGCACTCCGTACTTGAAGACTACTATCCTAAATAGTTCTGGGTTTAACTAGCTAATGATCTGTCAATCGAGAGGTCTCCTTGATGCTATCTGATCTCGGGACCAAACAAGACAGCAAATATCAGCAGGGTGTCTTAATGCTTCTGAATACTTCAGTGCAAGACGAGCCCATCGTCCCTCTAGTGCTGGTCAAACTGTGCAAACTTCAGCTGTGGAAGGTTCTATGAGGCAATTGATAGAACAATGATCATAATCAGAAACGGTTATAAGAGAAGCTGGACTTCAACCTTGAACAAGGTCTCCTTGGCTGGACAACCCTGGACTAGGCATCCAGTTTAAATAGTGACGGTCTTTGGGAAGGTTTCAATACCTGTGTTCTTCATAGGGGTATATTTAATCAAGGCTTGTATCCATGGAGGGGAGTGTCTGCAAGAAGAGTAGACTGTGAGATCTCTTTCAGTTACCATGGCAACCGAAGATCAATCATAAAGGCAATGAGTATCACCTCAGTATACTCCGTGCTCCAGATCAGAATACCCGACAGGCAGGGCTCAAGCGCCTGAGAGGAGAATCTCCCGTATGGGGATGAGAGAGCTGAGGGCTATGTAGGTCATCCAGGGAAGCCAACCTGTCAAACGGTAATCATAGATCTCTAGAAACTGAAATCTTGAAGCTGTCATGAACTACGGAGATAGTGGGAAGGTGATATGCTTCTATCTCCAGGTACTTAGTCCTCTCCAAGTGGCGTCTCTTACTCTGGTGGCACAATAAGGTACCTAGGTATGATGCAGTCACCGCACTTGCTGAACGTCAGATTGGTAGATGAAAGAAATGGGGAGAAGTATCCATACCCCACCAAAGACACTCACGGAAACCGAGAGTCTCTGCCACGGACTGCTGCACTATTAGGCTTTCCGCTAAGAGTCATCATGACGAGAGATCTATCTCTGAGTGAATTGATTTGATTATAGTGATTCTAATGCTGAGTATTATCGGAATCGTATGGTAGTGAACGTAGTAGCTAGACAAGAGAAAGAAAAATCGGAAGATTTTTACGTCATCCGGCGACCCCGCCATCTGCAGCCTAAAAAAGGGAAAAAAAAATACTCATGGAATCATCCTCCACCAGATGCTGAGAGACCAGATTTGCAAGACAAAGAAGCCCAATCCGTCGAGAAACCGCTGGTAAACTAGCGGAAAGGCCCAGAACATGACCTGATGGTTCTTGAATTGACACCAATCATCGCGACACCTGTAGAATTGGCCCGATCCAGCTAATTTCCTGATAGAAGCCCATCGAACACGGTGGATGCTCATCGAAGCTCTCTCCTGCTAGAAGCTTCGCTGGAGCTCAACCTCACCGCCCTCTACTATATCAATGTTTTCTCGCACAATTTCCTGACTCTCCCAGACTCAATTTTCTCACACACACAATCTTCTCACTGGAATTACTCTCTATCTTCCTGTTGTCTCCCTCCTTCCCCCCTTAGAGACTGTACAGTAATCACCTTTCTCCTTAACTCTACCTTCACGATCCACCTATATTTTCTTTCTATTTCTTAACAAACCCCTCCTCCCTTCTTCACAATGGCTCCCGCTGTCGGTATTGACTTGGGTACCACCTACTCCTGTGTGGGTGTCTTCAGAGATGACCGCATTGAAATCATTGCCAACGACCAGGGTAACCGTACTACTCCCTCGTTCGTGGCTTTCACCGACACCGAGCGTCTCATCGGTGATGCCGCCAAGAACCAGGTCGCCATGAACCCTCACAACACCGTCTTCGATGCTAAGCGTCTGATCGGTCGTCGGTTCCAAGATGCTGAGGTTCAGTCTGATATGAAGCACTGGCCCTTCAAGGTCGTCGAGAAGGGCGGCAAGCCCATCATTGAGGTCGAGTTCAAGGGCGAGACCAAGCAGTTCACCCCTGAAGAGATCTCCTCCATGGTCCTGACCAAGATGCGTGAGACCGCTGAGGCCTACCTCGGTGGCACTGTCAACAACGCTGTCATCACCGTCCCCGCCTATTTCAACGACTCTCAGCGTCAGGCCACCAAGGATGCTGGTCTCATCGCCGGCCTGAACGTCCTCCGTATCATCAACGAGCCTACTGCCGCTGCCATTGCCTACGGTCTTGACAAGAAGGCCGAGGGCGAGCGTAACGTCCTGATCTTCGATCTTGGTGGTGGTACTTTCGATGTTTCCCTCCTGACCATTGAGGAGGGTATCTTCGAGGTCAAGGCTACCGCTGGTGACACTCACCTGGGTGGTGAGGACTTCGACAACCGTCTCGTTAACCACTTTGTAAACGAATTCAAACGTAAACATCGGAAGGTACGGATTTTTAAAACACCTTTCCCCCATGGTATCTCTTTTGACAGTGGCTAACTTTGTTCAACAGGATCTCACCACCAACGCACGTGCTCTCCGCCGTCTGCGCACTGCTTGCGAGCGTGCCAAGCGTACCCTCTCTTCCGCTGCTCAGACCTCCATTGAGATCGACTCTCTCTTCGAGGGTATCGATTTCTACACTTCCATCACCCGTGCCCGTTTCGAGGAGCTCTGCCAGGACCTCTTCCGCTCTACCATGGAGCCTGTTGAGCGTGTCCTGCGTGACGCCAAGATCGACAAGTCCTCCGTCCACGAGATCGTTCTCGTCGGTGGTTCCACCCGTATCCCCAAGATCCAGCGTCTCGTCGCCGACTTCTTCAACAAGGAGGCCAACAAGTCCATCAACCCCGACGAGGCCGTTGCCTACGGTGCCGCCGTCCAGGCTGCTATCCTGTCTGGTGACACCTCTTCCAAGTCCACCAACGAGATCCTGTTGCTCGACGTTGCTCCCCTCTCTCTCGGTATTGAGACCGCTGGTGGTGTCATGACTCCTCTGATCAAGCGCAACACAACCATCCCCACTAAGAAGTCTGAGACCTTCTCCACCTACTCCGACAACCAGCCTGGTGTGCTGATCCAGGTCTACGAGGGTGAGCGTGCTCGTACCAAGGACAACAACCTCCTTGGTAAGTTCGAGCTTACCGGCATTCCTCCTGCCCCCCGTGGTGTTCCCCAGATTGAGGTCACCTTCGATGTCGATGCCAACGGTATCATGAACGTTTCTGCTGTTGAGAAGGGTACCGGCAAGACCAACAAGATCACCATCACCAACGACAAGGGCCGTCTTTCCAAGGAGGAGATTGAGCGCATGCTGGCTGATGCCGAGAAGTACAAGGAGGAGGATGAGGCTGAGGCTGCCCGTATCCAGGCCAAGAACGGTCTCGAGTCCTACGCCTACTCTCTCAAGAACACCATCAGCGAGGGCAAGCTCAACATCAGCGATGCCGATAAGGAGAAGGTCTCCAGCAAGGTCGAGGAGATCATCAGCTGGCTCGACAACAACCAGACTGCCACCAAGGACGAGTACGAGTCCCAGCAGAAGGAGCTTGAAAGGTATGTTTCATTTATTTCCCTTTAATTTTCACCTCACCTGAACTGTATGCTAACATTTACTCCAGCGTTGCCAACCCCATCATCTCCGCTGCTTACGGTGGTGCCGCTGGTGCCGCCCCCGGCGGTGCCGCCCCCGGTGGTGCTACCCGCACTGCTGACGAGGTCGAGGAGCGCCCTGAGGAGCTTGACTAAACGTCTAGCCCAGCGATGTTTCTTTCCTTTCTTCTCTTTTGCCTTGTGATATCTGGACAGGCAATAATGGGTTTTGCTTTTCCTTTCATGTCTTGTTTTACGAATTTACGGGATCCTTTTCTTTTGCGATGACTGCATAGATTCTAGTTTGTTTCCATGCATGATGGTCTGCCATGCTTCGGTGGGAAAAGTTCCTAATTAATGAGCAATGGAATCTTATCAAAACTACTTCTCTTAATCTCTCGTAGGTGCACCAGTCTTTGACACTCGTGCTACGTATACGTAAGCCGCACAACTCTTGCGAAAATATCAGTTTCAACCGGACATAGAGCCAGGAGCTCGAGTCCCATTATTCGGGTATCGTAGAGTAGTATACAGGTATCATAGTCGAACTTATATCAAATCATCCGCTCTCACACCCATACGGCAGAGAGAGAAAAGGCACCGACATTATAAACCCTCAAAATCACCCGCCCACCATCTCCGAACTCGATCCGCCCCCGTCTTCGCGATGGTCCCAAACCCGATCTCCCCCGCCTGTTCGGGATGTTTCTCTCGTTCCTCCCGGCGGATCCGAATGAGCGCCGCGGAGGTACCAATCGTAAAGGCGAAGATGGGGTCTGCAAATCTGTGTTCACGGCTGTTAGTGTCGATGTCTAGGTCGACGTGGACGTCCGAGCCTGTGTCTTTTCTTGCTCGCCGGGTTCCAGGACGTTGGTTGTATTTGGCCGGTATGCACGTACTTGGAGATCAGGTAGATCGGCATAGTGATGGACTTGCTCTGTTGTTGGTATTGCACTCCGTATTGGTAGGGCTGGTCTCTGAAGGTCGATGTGTCAGTCTTGAAACACCGTATCCCATCCGGTGAAGCTGTAGCTGTCTGTGGTTGTAGCTTGATTTATCCGCTCTTTGCGGAGATAGAGAGATCTAGGTCACGTGGTAGGAGAGCTTCTCTATCAGTACATACAAATTGCTTTACTCGCTTTTTGGCAAGTCCTTGAGTAACGTAGTCATTTACTAGGGCTCATTGGACTTTCTCGTTGGGACGCCCTGTAAGATTTAGATAGTATGGATTCGTGCTTCCAGGTGACATATATGTTCACAACCCTCGACATATAACCACTTCAAAGAAGAGGTCTAGCTTGGAAAGCCAATGCTTAAATTATCCGAATTACTTTACTATTATGTGAAAATCAGACTATTATATCAGACGAGTTGCTTATCTGAATTAAACACACTGATTATCCAATGGAAAAGTACCCATCACATAACGAAAGTGCGACTACCGTCTCCAGATGTCTGCAACGCTCAAGACTTGAAAATTAAGTGGAGTTTTTTTTCTTTTGATTACCCAATGACCCGTAGCAGATCTATCAGAACAGGATGAATGCTTATCATCACACCGGAAAGCCCTTGAAGAAAGACGAACAAAAAAAAAATTACAGGCTCAACATAATCCAATCGTCTGTACATTTAGACAACCTGTCCGAATGCAGGGATCAAGGTCTGGGCCAGCCAGAAGCTGAAAACGAGCTTTGGCCCGGTCATCAGTAGCTTAGGAGTCAGGCCCTTGAAAAAGCTGGTGAATCCCTCGTTCTTCATCATGTTGGACACAATTCGGAAGCCAGACTCGGGATTCTCAAAGTTGCGGTTCTGGATACGAGTCTTGATGACGTCCAAAGGAGCAGACACGACCAGAGACGCACTAGCACCACAGATGGACGCCACAAAGTTCTGACCCCATGTGGCCTTGTTGTAGTCCTTCAAGCTATAAATGTACTCCTTTGCAAAAGCGGAACCACCGAAGAGCTGTATGCTGCGGTCAGTCTTCTATCCATACAGAATTGATCTAGCCCAGCTGCGAGGAACATACCGCGAAAGATCCGGGGGCGTTACGAGCTGCAGTCCAGCCAGCGCCACGGTAGAGTCCCATACCCTCGTCGGAGATGATCTTGAAGAGGCCACGTCCACGGAAGGCCTCGGGATTCGTCTGACGTTTAATCTTCAGAACATCAAGGGGCAGAAGGACGATTTCTCCGATACCGATCAAACTATTGTAGGTCAGCCAAAGCTGCACATATAGTCCCCAAGTCCCGATAGAGAGACAGACCTTCCAGCAGTAGCGTGCATGATGGCCTTGCCAGTCCCCTTTCCGAAAGCACGATCGAAGTCGGAGCCATGGTGCTTGGCGAGATAGTCCCGAACAAAAGGCTGACCACCATACTTATAAATTCTTTGCAGAACCTTCGAATACTGTCAGCTCATTGACTCTCGGACCCCGCAAGTTCGTATCTGTACTCACCTTGTATCCAGCAGCGTAGCCCAGCCCGGGGAAGAGGGAGGTGAACTTGCGTCCGATAGGAGCAGTTGCGTACTCCTTGAAGACGACCTGGTTGAAGACTTCGGTGGATGCGATCTGGTAATGGTATCCGTCAGCCACTCCGCACAAACCCGCCCGCAGTCGCAACAAGCCGGTCACTCACTCGTGTCTGATTGCTCATCAATCGCTTCGCTATGGTATCAACCTGAGTTTCGAATTAGTCCAGATGTGCAATGATCGACTGACGTCTTGCTAGAGGGAGATCGTACGGGATGGAAAACCATCAATTCGGCAATACCGGCGGTTCCTGTGATTGGGAAGTTAGTCATTGATCATGGGTTGCGGTTCGAGCGCGAACATACCTGAGCCTAGCAGACGAGCAGTCGCCGATTCTTTCTTGACATCCTTAGAGGCAGAGCCAGCACCGGCTTGAACGATGGCAGGAGACATTTTGTTTTTGTAAGGTGGAAAACTTTCGAAAGATTCGAGGAAAAAAAGCGGAAACAAAAAACAGATTGTCCGCGGAAGGAATGAAAACAAGACTAAACTGATTACTGGCAATCAGGCAGCAGAACCAATTATAAAAGAAGTATAATAACGAAACACAGAACTCCGGACGAGGGGAAAAGATATGAGAGATGAAGCAAATCAGTCCATCACTTGCGCTCTTCTTCTCCGAGCGGAAACAGGTCTCTGGCGCTAATCCCAAATGGGACAGGGCATCCGGGGCGAGATCGGACTGGCAGTCTGGACTAGTCCATTCGGGATATATTGGTAGCTGCTATTGAGCCCTGGCTTCGTAGTTGATGAGATATCAGCAGTTGGATTAAGTTCTCAGGCTTGATCGTGGATAGCTAGGGATTGTCTTGATGTCTCGTGGGATATAAAATCACAGAGACACCCTCGGCCCTGGCACAGTCCCTTCTACAGAGAATCAGGGCAGGCATCATTGCACAGCTTCGGTGATAACGTCCTAAAATAACTACGACATGAGATCATACAAAGCTGGTTGAACTGATGCTGACAGACTAATATGAATTAAGGCCGAGGAAGGTCTCGGGTGAAGGAGTAACTACTCGGAACTTCGTCATGAATTGAACGACTGCATTCAAACCAAGATCATGAGATAATTCATTCACCAGAAGCCATCAAACCCATAACTAGTTCGCCAATCAAGTCCGTTGGAAGAAAGTAAAAGAAATCGTTGCACACCCGATATAACGCCTGCGTAAATGAGAGATACCACCGCACAGCTCGAGCAGTCCATCTATCTCATCATGGATCAATCGACTTCAACACGAACTCGAAACGTAGGTCCATGAATCGAACACCTTGACGGTGCGGAGAATTCCATTTGCTAAGAAGGACCCATTGATACTCAGCAGTCGCCGAAAGTGTTCTCGCCAGAGTATCTGAAGAACCGATGTTAGTACATGTCCTAAGGGACGAAAGAGGGGGAGTAACGCACGTGATGTACAGGAAGCCATCCTCATCCTTATGTTCTTCATAGATACTGCTCATGAGCGCGGCGGTTGGTGGCAGGACCTCATCGACGAAGATGAAGATGGCCTTCTCGGGAGAGAGCTTGATGCGCTTGCGAATGACATAGACGAACTGGCCAACAGTAAGGTCCGCAGGCACTAGGTACTTTTTCTTGTCGATAGTAGCAATGTCCGACTTCTCAACTTTCTCGCAGATGACCTGTGGAAGAGGTAGCTTAGTTAGTACCCGAACAAGCGGTGAGAGTGAACCTTGCTCCTGGAAGAAGTAATATCTTCATAGCATTCTCCCAAAACTTAGGGGCGATGAGCATACCGGAATACGATCAGCATACTTCTGGCGAATACGCTCAGCCTCAGCCTTGCGTTTCTCGAAAGGGTGCTCGTCCTTGAACTTCGACCGCATCTTGATAGATAAGGGCGGATAACGGATAAGGCGAGGTCGGAAGGTTGTTGAGATCGAAAGACCGTGATGAAATCAGAGGTTGGGTGAGATTATCTCACTGTTGAAGATGAATAGCAGACAGAGTTAGGATACGATGATGGAAGAGGTGAAGATGGAGGATGACGAAGGTGAGGGAGACTGATAGACCAGGTAAGATAGGTCAGCAGTAAGTAACAGCCAGCCAGAGGCGAGCTGGTAGGCAGACACAGTCACAAGTCACAAGATGACAAAACGAAACACTGGATGAAGCGACAAACGCAAGCAGCCCCGCGTAATATATGGTATCATGATTGTATGATACACCTGATAAGGTGTCGATGTGTAGATCACGGGGTGGTAGGCGGTCAAAGGAACCCCGCTCAATGAGTCAGGTGCTTTTGATCATCCTGAATCTCTCCCATTTGATTTCTGGAATATCCTGTGATACTCAACCTATTTAAGATAGAATAATAACTGCTAGCGAGCCTTATGACTCCTTTTCTGTGGATGTGACCATCTTGACAAGCTCTGAGAGGCAGTGTGACGATATGATCATTATCGGGACCTCATCCGGGAACTAGCTTGAGCTTCGGCCGCTTTGATCCGCGGCAAGTTGGCAGCTTAAAAGCAGCTGTTCCTGACCTCCCTTTCAAACACTCTGCAGCAAACAATATGATCATTTCCTTTGATTACATGTTTTCACTGATTACTGGCCAAGCAGATGAAGCAGCAGTTAAACTCCGTGGCTTTATACGATCAAGCTCAGGCAACCAGGCAGCTTTTGTTACTGGGATGCAAACGATTCATAATTGCTTCCTTAGCACACCGCCTTACTAATGAAAGCAAACACGGCAATCAATGCAAATGGCACAAACTGATTTGAGTTTCGAGGCACGGAATCAAGCGTTCTCCGAGTATCATGACAACGGGTGGTCCCATATCTATTCCTGGAAGTAGATAGACTGCTTCTATACTACACGGTGGGCTGAGCCCCTCGGAACACTTTCGTCTCCCACAGAGCTCCGGTAGCTCCTGCAGCATCACCTGATTCTAGGATATCAGCCAATTGACTACCCACCTGCATATCTCTTAAACCATGGCTTTGCCGCGATCATTTCTGCCTCTTCGGAGGTCGCTCTGCCAATTCTCATCTCGAACCTGTCGCAATCCCACTCGTACATTGAGAGGAGCGCATCGTTGTTATTCGTCCGAGCAAAAGCCTCGAGAGCCGCAGCAGTTCACGGTGTGGAGGCCCTATCTTCGGCTGGCAATTGGTGTACCCTTCATAGGAGCCATAATATATTCAATGGTACGCGCAACGCTCTGGTGAACACCCAGTTAAATAACATGGTCTAAATATGACTTGGCAGATGACTGGCGAAGTGACGGATCTCGACTCTCCGTCCATCGTGGAGCTCGATGAAACCCTAAAGAAACAGTCGACAATTGGCGAGAACTCGCCTATGCGTCTACGAATGGAGAAATTGATCAAAGAACATCAGCAGAAGATTGTGAATGAACTCAGCAGGATAGATGGAAAGATGTTCAAGACCGATACGTGGACACGTCCTAATGGCGGAGGCGGTATTTCATGTGTCTTGCAGGATGGAAATGTCTTTGAGAAGGCCGGTGTCAATGTTTCCATCGTCTATGGTGAATTACCTCGCCCCGCCATCGAGAAAATGCGAGCGGATCACAAATCGTTTGTCGGCGCAGACGTTGACTCTCTGAGCTTCTTTGCTGCTGGTCTCTCACTGGTTCTGCACCCCCACAACCCCATGGCTCCAACAGTGCACCTGAACTACAGATATTTCGAGACCTCGGATCCAAAGGATCCTATCCACGGTGAGAAAAACTGGTGGTTTGGCGGCGGCACAGATTTGACACCGTCATACCTCTTCCCTGAAGACGTTAAGCACTTCCATCAGACCATCAAGGACGCCTGTGATAGACATGATGCGACATACTACCCCAAGTTCAAAGCATGGTGTGACAAGTACTTCCACTTGCCTCATCGCGGCGAGGCTCGTGGTGTTGGCGGTATCTTCTTTGATGACCTTGACGCCAGTTTCCTTGAATCCTCTTCTACTTCTTCCCAGAACCCTCAAGAGACTATCTTCTCATTCGTTTCCGATGCTCTCGCATCATTCCTACCCTCCTACGTCCCCATTATCGAAAAGCGCAAGGGCATGCCCTTCACTCCCGCCCAGAAGGAATGGCAACAGCTTCGGCGTGGCCGCTATGTCGAGTTCAATCTTGTCTATGACCGCGGGACTAGCTTTGGTTTACGTACACCCAACGCTCGTGTCGAAAGTATCTTGATGAGCTTGCCTCGCACTGCATCATGGGCATATATGGACCCGGTATCCGGAACGCGTACCGAGGGTCCCATGTCGGAAGAGGAAGAACTTCTGACTCAGGATAAGGCAGCGGAAAAAGAGATGATGGAGGTTCTGAGACATCCTAGGCAATGGGTTTGATACACTGGGTTGCAGTCTACTGACCCGTCCATAATGATCCTGTCCAAGATAAAACATGTACAATTTTTGCACTCTTCCTGTAATATACACCACGGTTCAGGCGCTCAAATTATAGGGGTCACATGGCCATGATCTCATCTGTTGAGATTCGGCTCTAAGATATCAATATTTGACTGGGGACTGGGGTATCAAGCAATGGCATGTGCGCGTGTCTAACACTGTGTCTCTATATAGTCTTGGCTTAACAAAGGAAATAAGGAAAGTGACGGAATAAAAGAGCAAACGAAAGACAATGAAGAAAACAAACCCCCTTAACTTACAAGACAAAGCGATCCTAGCGACCTGCTACCAGACTTCTTTGTCTCCCCAGCCAGCCCTTCTGCAATTCGCTCATATTGGCTCCGTTGCGGAATCTCGACACTGTGACATTGTTGCTTTGTAAGCGGCCGTGGAGATCATACCAGGCAGAGCTGATAAGAGCCAATTCGCGTGCCTGGTTGTCGATGACCTTCTGAAGTTCGAGCTGGACGACGGATGAGCCTGTCAGTAAAGGAGGATGACAAGGAGAGAAGACCAGTCGGCCTATCTTAATGTGTCGAGTCGCGGCAAAAACAACGGAAAGAAAGTATGATGGCTTACCTCGCGCTCCCTGCTAATACCATCAGCAGCATTGTCTTCTTCGAAATGCTTGATGCGGTCTTGCAGGAATTTAATGTGCTCATTTTGATGATGAATGTACTAAATAACAAATCGCATTAGTCAGCTTTGGGCGCAGAAATGCCAGAGAAATGCAGTGGCCAGGCTAATTAGGAGCGCTTGAATCTCGACATCAAGCTTTTTAAGCGCGATGATGGTACACCTCGCTTGAGTGGCTTCGTAGGATTCTCCCTATTGGTGTACTTTGCCTCGAAGTCAGGTACACGCCGTGGCTGGGCGCGCAACCCAGCATTTACAGCAGCGGTAAATGAACTCTCCGAGAAGCCTTTCCCAGAATGTGTAGTTCCGGCGCCACTGGAAGGGAGTGGAGAGAATTTACTGACCTCTGCGCGCTTCGCAAGCTTTTCAAGGTACTTCTCAATCAGCTCAGCAACTTCTTTGGCGAGCTCTGGACCAGATTTCTGAGAAGCATCTGCAGAATCACCGTTCTCCTGGGCCATCAATTCGGCCAGCAGCCTCTTCATCTCATTGGACATTTCCTGATCCTCCGCGTGGATTTCAACTTGCTTTTTGTCGAACAAGCTGCGCAGCTCATCTCGTTCAGCACACACTTCGCGGACCAACTCTTGACTAGCGTCAAGCTCAGCCTCGAGCAAATGTATCCTATGCTGACACTCATCCCATTCGGCACGAAGTTTGGCGACTTCGGCTGAGTTGCTCTCCTTGACTTCGTGAATCATGTCTACTTTCTCCTTGCCGGCAAGTCCAACTGCAGTTTCATAAGCAGACTGTCGGGACGTTTTGTACGTAGAGTAGATGAACAACTCACTCTCAGCCATGGCGTCTGTCAGAGCCCTCTTGGTAATTTCAAGAGAATCTTGAGCGTCGGCAAGTTTTCCAAGTGCTTGCGTGTAGTGTTCGTATAGTTTCCAATACTCGTCACTGAACGTTCCGTGAGTACGTGGTGAGAAAAGAGGTTCAATAACATACCCTTGTGAGGAATTGGCCTGAGCGAGCCGATGAATCTGTGAGAAATTCTCCGAGAATCCCTCAAATTGGGAACCGATCTGGGATTCGTCGTCAGCATCGTCCGCAGCGAACTTTCCCAATTCTTCCTCGAGCCAACTTACAGAGGGCTGTTCCTTTAGTGACTCGACCTCCTTGCGCAACTCGTCATTTTCCGCTTTACTACCGTCGGTCAGCTCAGCCTCTTCAAAGATGGTCGGAAGGACTGACAGTTGCGATTCCTGGATACCTATGCCCTCAAAGTCTTCTTGCAATGTGCCTCGCTTTGGTGTTTCGGCGCCTGGAGTGAGCGATGGACTTCCCGGCGAGCCCTCAAGCTCGCGGATCCTTTCTCTCAGTTCACTAATCAGCGCATCATCTCTCTCGCGCTGTTCTTCGGCACTACTGAGGCGTTCCGTAAGCGCATGATTGTTAAATTCAAGCTGCTTTTTCAGGTTCTGAATCTCGCTGCATTCCTGCTCGATGCGTGGAAGGACTCTGCGATATTCCTCAAGTTCCACTTCACGCTCCGCTGACCATCTCTGCTGCGAGTCTGCGTCTTTTAGTTGCTGCTGGAGGTCCTTAATCTGGTTCTTCAGACTCTGGTTCTCTTTCTCAAAATCCTGACTGGCCTGCAGCTTTTGGCGGTATTTTTCCGCTGCATTGGCTTTTCGTGCAAGCTGGTCCCTGTCGGTCTTGAGCTCATCATAGTCATCTTGTAATTTCTGGAAGCGCTGATTCTTGACATGTAGTGACTCCACCGTCATGCGCAAGCTGTCAATCTCATCCTGCGCCGCGGCGATTCGCTCCTCCTGGGATGCGATCAAATCCTCCTGCTGACGCGTCTTCGACTCCAATGCCTTTGCACTGACCCCGATGTCGCCTTTTCCGGACTTCAGCGTCACCAAGCGATCCTCCGTTGAAGCAAGACGGCTCTGCAGAGTGTCATTGTTTTCCTGGAGGCGTGCTAGGCGGTTGTGTAGATCTTCCAGCGCTTTCTCCAACTCCTTCTTTTCATGCGTCAAGCGATCGTTCTCCGCAATCACCTTTCCCACTCGTTCTTCAAATTGTAGCTCGAGATCCACCGAAAGATCCTGTTTCTTGGTGTCTTCGGTGGTTTCGTCCTCGACATCACTTGAGATCAATTCCCCGTTTGACTCCTCGATTGCGATCTTGAGCCCTTCCTGCGCCTGTAGGCTCAAATCCTGGATTTGGTTGACGAATCTCTCTGGGTTTGGCGAGCGAATGACGGCGATCAGAAGCAGTTTCAGGAGCTTGTTGGTTTCCTTCACCGAGTTCTTTTCCGCAATAGCTTGAAGATCCGGAGACGGGTCCAAGCCAGAAGGCAGATTGCCAGTTTGCATTCGCAGGTAACCGGTCAGATGCTTGTGGACATGTTTCAGGTTGGCCAGTTTCGCAACCCAGTGATCGGACGTATTCCGCTCGGGCAATTCGTTGAGAAAGTACTGAGGGTCAATATCCTGCAGAATTTCCCAAAGTATCGTGCCGTCGCTTAATTCCTCGGTAGATCGTAGCGTTTTACCGAGAGAGAAACTGTTGATCCATTCTAAAAGGGCTTGAGTAATCGTGTGTTCCGACGCCATGTTGGGAGGGAGGGGATGCGTCGCGCCCTGGGAATCTTAGGAATGTGTAGGAGCTGAATGATGTAGGGGTGGTGATAACTGTCGGTCAGGTTGCAGCGATAATTTCATCTCTTTAAAAGCAATGCAGGACTGGAGAATTGCTTAAATAGTTGTTAGATTCGGTTGTTGTCTCTCCTGAGCCTCGCGAGTTCGGGGAAGTTTCACAGCGGGCTCCACGCGCACCTCCTGCTTGGCCGGAGTCGAGAGATCGTCTTTATCTACTCTTAGGATGTCGCAGAATCGGCACAGAATTATTTTGATGAACAAAGGCTATTGCAAATAATGTCTCTGTTTTCTGTCTTTCAACGTGTTTCCCTTTCTTTCATGAGAACGATACAAAACAATACAGATCGGAAATAAATCATCATGAATCACAATGTTAGAATACTGCTTGTCACAAGGAAGCAGATAGAATCAATTCATTATCCATATATCCCAAGGGCAGGATCAGTGAAAAGTGTTCCAGAAATCATTAATCATAAGCAGCTTGGGCGTTCCCAATCATTCAGAAGGCGATGACTGCCTCAGGGCAGCTGATATTAACTGCTGTTGCAATCTTTATCACCATAGGTCGAGACCACCTGATCTCCTTCGATAATTGGCTTATACTTGGTGGACTGTGTAGAAAGACTCTGAACTGCAGCGTCTGGAGCTTCCGCAGAGAAACCCCTGATATGGTGTTAGACGCGATTCCCGTAAGATAAAGGTTAGGGAACGGGAGAAGTTACTTGATGAATTCTGAAGGAGAGATATATCAGTAATCTGAACAAGTCAAGTATGTTTCAATAGCAGAATGGCAGCACTTACGGTACTCATGAGTGATTCTACCACCCTGGAGTGAAAAGTAGATCAGTAAATCATAAGTATAAGGAGCCCATATCTTCAACAGGACAACATACGCCTTGTACGATGGATTTCTGCGCGTCCTTGATGACCGAGTCTGGGGTGTCCTGAGGGTAAGTGACCAGAATCGACTTGGCTAGAGCCAGAGGAAGAAATCCGATAATGAAGGCAGATGACAGTTTCATTGTTATGTAAGTATGGTGCAAAGTGACACGACCACTTTCAAAAGGTACTATGTCTTTATACACAAAGATGATCAGTATTCACGGTGGTTTATCTCGAAGATGATAGTCCGTAGGGATATCCGCCTACCTCAGTAGATAGGTGAGTATCATAGTATGACACAGTGGCACTCCGTCATGGGGAGGTGACTAAGCCAGACAAGCCAGCCAAAGTCTTGGCGTCCGTCGGTCATTCTTCAACTTTCACTTCACTTCCTCCTCCTCAATAATACCTCATAATAATCTCAATCAACCTCCCTTCTTCCCCTCTTTCCCCTTTAGTTTTTTTTTTAAAGATCTCTCCCCGGCTTTTCTTTTCGATTACTGCCTCCCGAATTCACCTCTGCCGTTGTGTTGGTCCCCGAGGTGTTGCGTTCTCCGAAATTTACCTCAAGCGTGGAAAACACCCTCAGATTCCCTCACTATCATCTTCGTACCGTTTGCGGGCCTTTGCTGGTTAACAACCCTGGAAGGGTCAATCGGGCGAGATATTTACGAGGTAGTTCCTTATAGTGGGTATAGAAGGATAGTCGTGGGCTTCGGTGTGGTTTAGGTTGAGGACTGGCGCCTGCTTCGTCTCGTTGTTATCTCCAAAGTCTCGCCAAGATAGCTAGCAAGCATTTTACAAGTTTCGACTTTTCTTCCATCTCTTGCTCTTTCAGGAGATCACAGTTCTGGAAAAACACCGGAGGAGAGAATAAGAAACCTATCTTCATAAGAAACCAACTTGAGAAACACAAGAGAAGAGACGGGAACAAAGAGGGAAAAGAACATACTGTGCAAAAAGGACTTCAAGAAAAAAGAGAACATCACTACCTAAGAAGAAAAGAAAGAAAAGAAGCAAGACAAGAAGGGAAAAAAGAAAAAGAAAAAGAAAAAGAAACAGCTAGAAGGAGGGAAAGAAAACATCTCAATATCCCTGAGTGTTGCTACATTCGCTTGACCATTTCCTTTGTTCCCTTTCTCCCTTGCCTTCATTCTCATCTTGCCCACGAACACCGTTGCTTCGCGGCATACTTGCCTGTCATGTCGTCTGGGCTCGCCTCTGATGAGGTCGCTGAGGATTACAAGAACTCTCTGGAGGATCTTACCACGAACGACAGGTTCCAGATCAGCAACTTGACCGTCATAGCCAAAGAGAATACTGAACATGCTATGGCCATCTCCAGAGTTTTGGAGAACCACATTCGAACAGTAGGTGTCATCTTTGTTTCTCACTCTCATGCATTTCTCCTTGGCTTTTGTATCTCGCTCGGCGCTCAGCTGATTGTAAGTTTGACCGGTTGAACCACTTCTAATCGTGTGCTGTAGACACCGCCAGCTCAGAAGCTTCCTGCCTTGTATGTAGTCGACTCCATTGTGAAGAATGTGGGAACTCCCTACACACTTTTCCTGGGTCGCAATATGTATCAGACTTTCATGAATGCCTACACGTTGGTGGACTCGCAAACCCGCAGAAAGCTGGACGAAATGCTCAAGACATGGAAGGAATCTGTTCCGGGGTCACTAGATACAAGACCCGTCTTTCCTCCGGAAATTACACGCAGCATTGAAAGCGCTCTGATCAAGGCGAGAACCGCGGCTCTACAGCAGCAGCAGGCCAGGAGCCAGCAGGATATACTTAACCGCGGCCGGGTGGGCACTCCTCCTCATGGCTGGACGAACAACACTACGCTCAACCAGAGTGCGGCTCGGCTCGCGCCTTCCACAAGTCAGAATGGGCATGCTCATCAGGTCCGAAATGGACACACGCAAAATCATCACGCTGCGGTAAGGCCCATGCTAGTCACAAAAATGATTGTCGCGAATGCCTTTGTCATATCTAACGCATACACAGTTGGACCCTCGATCTACTCCAACCCCTCAACCTTCGCAGCGCTCGGAAGTGGATCTTGCGGCATTGAATCGCGACATCGAGGCATTGATTGCAGCTGCCCGAAGTGATTTCGCCAATAACCCTCTTGACCCTTCTGTGCAACAGCGTCTCAAAGCTCTACTAGATTTGCAAGGCATCCTCCAGCGTCAAGAGCTCACTCAGGAGCAGCTGAAGCTGGTCCGTGACCAGGTCTCTGCACTCACTCCAAAGTCTGCTCTTTCAGTTCCCCAAAGCGTTCCGCCAACCATTCCAGCTATGCCAACACCCAGCATGGCCACTCCCCCAGTTCAGACCCTTTCACAGCCTCTTCAGCAGCTCCTCAACCCGGGAACATTAGCTGAGCTTATCAAAGCAACTGCTGCACGCCAGCAACCCACCCCACCACCCCAAGTCCACAGCATTCTACCGCAGATGCCAGTAGCTAGCAGCACGCCACAACCGGCGGCCATGCCGGCGACCGAGAACCCGTTAATTGCAGCTCTACGAGCGCGTGGCCTCTTGCCTCCCGCTTCCGCACCTCCTGCCCCTACCACTGCTCCACCGTCCAACCTTGCCTCTGCCTTTCCCTTTATTGTACCTGGTCAGGTGCGATTTTTAACTCCAGTGCCTACTATGCCTCAGGCTCCTAATCCCTCGAGTATTACTATCAACGTGCAAATGAATACGGCATCCATTAAAATGTAAGTTTGCACGAAATTTGCACTTGTAAAATGTTCGCTGCTGTTTCATATGCTAATAGGATGCAGACCGCGAGAGGGACTAATAGCCAGTCTCTACGAAGCGAGATCTAACCGTTGTGGGACATGTGGCCGTCGATTCTTTGCAACAGAAGAAGGAAAAGAAAAGAAAGCTCGCCATCTGGACTGGCACTTTCGGACCAACCAACGGATGGCGGACGCTGCCAAGCGAGCGCAGAACCGCAGCTGGTACGTTGACGAGCGGGTGAGTGGATATCTCTTTGTCCAACATTCGTATCCCGGAGAGTTTCCTAACAACCGGGCAGGATTGGATAAAATCCCGCGAAGCCGGAGACGATGAGGATCCTGCAGAGGCAGAATCTACAAGTGCCGGTGCTGCAGGTGCCGAGAGTGATTCAACCAAGAAAGGGCCGCCCAAGCAATGGATCCGTGCTCCCAATGATGCTACTTTGCGCAACACGCCCTGTCCCATTTGTCAGGAGACGTTTGAGTCGACATGGTCGGAGGAAGTCCAAGACTGGATATGGCAGGATGCCGTCAAGGTTGGGAACCGGATATACCACGCAAGCTGCTATGCGGAAGTTACGAAGGACGGGACGACTACGGCTGCAGGTCGGGGTACGCCTTCGGCACGGACTGGAACGCCAGATTCCGTGTTGGGCAAGAGGAAGGCAGAGGTATGTTCGATCCACCATGGCAGAAAGTTCGCACGTATCAAACTAATTCGACGTACAGGGGACCGACTCTCCCGGGTCAAATGTCCGAGTCAAGATGGAGCCTGTGTGACGAAAGTGTTTCATTCAACTTCGATACCCCGGCCCTTGCTTTCTGCTTTGGGTACCGGGGGCGACATGCATGCGATGGAGTTGACATTATCGTATCTGTTTGGTGGTTGCATTTAGCCGGCGGCTGTACTGCATTCTGAGACCCCGCACTATTTTGAGAAGATTGGGGAATTTTTGACTATCTACGAGCATTGCCGTACATGTATTCCATACAATTCTCCATAGAACATTCTATAAATTAGTGGCTAATCCAAGAAAGGCACTGATTCTTGCACCACACAGTTTATTTTCCCTTTGTAATCCCGGATGAGGCAGTGGATAATGAATGCCATTGGGACTGCCCCGCTTGTCCGGGAAGGACCTTCTATTATTGATAATCATAGTTGGAGTAGTCTAGAGCCCAAGATGAGCTGTGTGTTCTTATAAATGCAGTCCTCTCCCAAGTCTCTGTCTCAGGTTGGCACCATCCTTCTCTGCTGTATAGTTCCACTGCCAGTCCCCCATCCTTCGACGTCACCATGGCTCCGTACAATGTCCGGTGGGGTATTATGGGTATGTTTTCCATCCTCCCTTGCACACTCCCAAAGGCCGTTCTAAGCTGACAAGACTTCAAATAAAACATAGCCACCGGCTGGATTGCAGATAGTAGGTCTCCACGATTTCCCTCGGAACAAGCCTCAGATTGATCGATAATCAATTGAGAGAAATATAACAGCTAATGCAATTACTTGACGCTTAGTCTTTGTAAGAGACCTTCTGCGCGACCCCAATCTCCGAGACGCATCTGACGTCTCTCACACCGTCGTTGCCGTTGCCTCCTCTTCAGCCAAGGACCGGGCGGAGAAGTTCATTGCTGATACGGGCATCCCGGCGCCGTGTGCTGCGTACGGCTCGTACGAAGAGCTCGTGGCCGATGCTAACGTGGACGTGGTGTATGTCGCGACGCCGCACTCGCACCATTTCCAGAATGTGATGCTTGCGCTGGAAGCAGGCAAGAATGTTCTCTGTGAGAAGGCTTTCACCGTCAATGCGGCGCAGGCGAAGATCCTGTGCGAGACGGCGAAGAAGAAGAACCTTTTCCTGATGGAGGCCGTGTGGACCCGGTACTTCCCTCTCAGTGTGCAGGTCCGGGACCTCATCAAGCAGGGGGCCATTGGCGAAGTCCTCCGGGTGGTTGCTGACAACAGCTTCGGGGATAACGTCGAGGAGCGATGGGGCACTCAGCATCGGATGGTGAACAAGGATCTCGCTGGTGGCTGCTTGCTGGATCGTAAGTTTACTCTTTCTTCTACGGACTCCTGAGCCATTTGGCACAGTTTCTAATGATCGTTTCGTTGCAGTGGGCATCTACTCCTTGACCTGGGTCTTCCAGACCATGTACCACACTCTTCCCCGGAAGCAGCGCAAAGCTCCTTCGGCCATCTCCGCGCACATGTCTCTCTACCACCTGACTGGCGCCGACGAGGCCACCACGATCCTTCTCACGTTCCCGACGACGACCCCAACTAACAATGCCCAGCCCGGTCAATCGCAGGCAGTCGCCATGACCCATCTGCGGGTCGCGACCGATCCGGATGAGCAGGGCGCCGCTGGTCCCTCGATCCGCATCCAAGGGCCCAAGGGCGAGATTCAGGTCTTTGGGCCTGCCTTCCGGCCTGAGCGATACCGTCTAATCCCCAAAAAGGGACTTGGCGAGATCAAGGACGTGCAGTGCCCGTTCCCGGCGGACGGGAAGGGCATGTACTGGGAGGCCGACGAGGTGGCGCGGTGCTTGCGCGATGGAAAGCTCGAGAGCGATGGGCTGCCCTGGGAAGAGAGCATTGTCATCATGGAGGTCATGGACGAGGTTAGACGCCAGGGTGGGTTGACCTATCCGGAGAAGATCGAGTCCACCGTTTACCCTACCCAGCTGTAAGGGTTGCGGAAACGTATATATACTTGGCTCTGCGGCCGTAGATCGAGTTATTTTACATGGCTGGCCTCCTACGGGCGTGTCCGGCTGAACATAGTGAATTTTGGTCGCCAAACAAAAGATACTATACATATCGCTGTAATTCCACTGAAGGTATCTTTATGTACGGACGCCAAAAGGACTCTCCAAATACCCTCCCTTGTAGTCCACCAAGAGGCAGATGCGCACATCTTGCAGATTACATGTAATCATTTCAGGATTTATCCTTCGCACATACCACTCCTCCCCTTGCCGGCAGGGGATGTTACGGGGGCTGTATGACGCACGCTCGTGAACCCATATAGTACCTTCCAGAAAGACTTTCTGCATTTACTTCTGGAAAACACCAAGCAAGCTCTTCCATACCTGGCCAGGCTCCTGGCTGGCGTCAATGCCTCGCCAGATACCGGTCTTCTTGTAGTATTCGACGACAGGGGCGGTCTGGGCGTGGTAAGTCGAAAGACGCTTCTTCAGCGTCTCGGCGTTGTCATCGGAACGTTGAATCAGGGGCTCGCCAGTGACATCATCCTTCATATCGTTCTTGGGAGGGTTGAAGATCTTGTGGTACGACCGTCCAGAGGCAGGGTGGACAAGACGTCCAGTTATTCTGGCGACCAGGAGGGCATCGTCGATCTGCAGCTCAATAGCATGCTGGAGCTTCTGCTTACGAGCTTCGAGCATGTCATCAAGACGCTCGGCCTGAGCAACGGTACGAGGGAAGCCATCCAGAATGAATCTAGAAACATTGGACAGTCAGTCACTTTCCATCTCCGACTGAATGAACTTCAACAAGGCACGTGTGTACGAACCCGTTCTTGCACTCAGTGTTGGTGTCGAGCTCGTTCTTGATCATGTTGACCATGATCTCATCGCTGACAAGACCACCCTGGTCCATGATCTTCTTGGCCTCCTTTCCGAGCTCAGTCTTTTTGGCGACCTGGGACCGCAGCATATCACCGGTAGCCTTTTGAGGTTGGAGACGAAATGTCAGACGCGCACTTTGCTCAATTACTTGCAATTCAATAACGTACCAGGTGGCACACGCAGTACTTCTCCTTAAGCCGGGGCGCCTGAGTACCCTTGCCTACAACCCGATTAGAACCATGAAGCCATTATCGCAATCGGCAACCCTTGTAAAAGACCATACCAGCACCGGGGGGTCCCATAAGGACGATGCGCATCTGCTCGGCGATAGACTTAGGCTTGGATTCGCCGCCGAGACGGCCCTCCAACTCCTGCACACGGTTCTCAAGCTTCTCGATCATGTCCTTCAGACCGTGGACGACCTCTTCTGTGATGGGAGCCATTGCGATTACTGACGGCTAGAATCGAAGTATGATGCTATCAAAAAGCTCTCCGGAGAAAAAAACAGAAATAGGAAAAGGAAGAAGGGAGAGGAGAGGGAGAGGAAAGGAATCAAGGTGCCTGGCAGAGAATGGTGCTCAGTGACGGGGAAACGGAAAGGAAGGGAGGATCGGAGAACTATTTCTTGGAGGAGGAAAAGAGATCTAAAACGGAGCATTCTCCCGCGCGTCCGAGGTTCGGGGCTTACTGGCCAAGTACAACACTCCAGCACCTACGAGTAGCGACTGAATCAGGGTAACATATGGGCACATGTAATCCAGTCATTATGACTTTCAATTCCTCTAAATGAGGCTTTCTGCGTCCATAGTATATGCCGAATAATAGTTGAAGGTATACAAGTGCCGACGAGCTGGCCTCAGGCAACAAGGCCCTAAAGTGGCTGGTGAATTAGTAGCCAAGCACAAGCCACAAAGACTACCAAAAGCTCTCGTGGCTCAGCAGCGGAGGAGCTCCAGGGCAGAACAACAGCAGCTCCATCTTTCGCTCCGTCATCATCATAATCCTCCTCATTCTCATTCCAATCCTCATCCCCAGATCAACTTCTCTCTCTCCGTCGCTTCCACGACTATTCAAAGTCTTCCGTGCAATCGGAATCAGCGTCTGTGATCAGTCCACGGCCTCCAGTACCTTCCCTCCTTCTGCCATCATTCTCATCTGATCCAATCCACCATGCCTGCCACCACGGCGGACACACTCTCCCTCGTCACGCGCACCGTCACGGTAGCTCCCTTAGTCCTTCTTTCAGTCGCAGATCATTATGGACGGTCAGCCAAGGGAACTCGGAAGCGTGTTGTTGGTGTGCTGCTCGGAGAGAATTCGGGCCAGACCGTTCGAGTATCCAACAGCTTTGCAGGTGCGTCGTCTCCCAAATCGGCTTAGTTATGTTCCCTGGTAGATGGACGGCAGTTCTGATGTCTCTATCTTTTCTTAGTTCCATTTGAGGAAGATGAGAAGGATCCCTCCGTTTGGTTCTTAGATCACAACTTCGTTGAGTCCATGAGAGACATGTTCAAGAAGATCAACGCCCGCGAGAAGCTTGTCGGATGGTATCACTCGGGGCCTAAATTAAGAGCCTCTGATCTTGAGATCAATGAACTCTTCAAACGATACACACCGAACCCCTTACTGGTCATTGTCGACGTCCAACCAAAGGAAGTTGGCGTTCCCACAGATGCCTATTTTGCTGTTGACGAGATTAAGGACGTAGGTTGACCCCGTGCGATGCCCTTGTGAGCTCTTCAATCATATCCGACTAACCGTTCGCTTGCTCTACATAGGATGGCACAACAACATCCAGAACATTTGTCCATACCCCTTCAGTGATCGAGGCCGAGGAGGCTGAGGAAATCGGTGTTGAACACCTGCTTCGAGACATCAGGGACGTTGCCGTTGGAACCCTTTCAACACGCATAACATCGCAGCTTCAGTCGCTGCAGGGTCTACACTTGCGCCTGCGTGATATCGGCCAATATCTCCAGAAGGTCCTTGATCACGAGCTGCCGGTCAACCACGCTATTCTTGGCAATCTTCAGGATGTGTTCAATCTTCTTCCCAACCTATCTACTCCAGCAACGACGTCGCGTCTGAGTGGGTCAGAACCACAGATGGAGAACAGTGAACTAGCGCGGGCGATGAGCATAAAGACCAACGACCAACTGATGGCCATCTACATCAGCAGCTTGATTCGTGCTATCACCGCCTTCCACGATTTGATTGAGAACAAGATCCAGAACCGACAACAACAAGAAGAGAACGAATCGAAGAAGGAGCAAGAAGCAAATGCTGCCAAAGGTGACAAGGAGGGTGCGAAGAAGGCGAATGGCATGAGCGGCGAGCAAAAGGAGGATCAGGAGAAGTCCAAGAAGAAGAGCTAGAAGTGTCATTCAACAATGGCACAACTGACATGAAATTTAAAACATTTTCAGTTTATGCATGGAAGTGTATACTACGATAATCTGAGAATCGATCTCGTCCCGAGCACGTACCAAGCGAGCTCGAGCAGTTTTGGAAATAATCATCCCTTTGCGATGTAACACGCCATCGAATGCTGGACTGTAGACAAGCCGGCAATCTCCTAAGTGGATACTTCCCTTAGATTCTTTCTGGAAGTATCTATGATACTGCGCATTGAAAGCGCGGTGTCCATAATTGCGTCGCCGTCAAAAGGTTTCAAAGCTTGAGGCTCTCCCTGAAGTGTCTGGCATTAGCGCCACAAGGAATGCCCATTTCCAGGCAAACGGACAGACAGGCGCAGCTGAAGGGCTTTGCTGAAATAATGGTCTGAATGCCTCTTAGAGATGAAGTAAATTCCGTATAATAGCACCGTAGCGCCTCCCAAGACAGAGGCGTAGGGACATCTTTGGATCAATTTCCGCGTGGTCGCGAGAATCATCCACCCCAGCCCGCCCACCACGCCGCCAATTCCTCGCAAGTCAGAAAGACAGGATCGGCTTGACCACGGCTGCCGCCACTGAAGATTCCAGGACAGCGCACCATCAGCAAGCACGCGAGGAGATGTTTGCAGACAGGGGGTGCCAGTCGGCTAGCCCCTCGGGTCAACGAGCCGCCAAAAACATAGCGGCGAGTCGGGTCGTCGCCGACGGCAGACTGTTCAGCCAGGGTCTCGTCTTCGGCTTCGCCGTCAAACTGAGATGAGTGGGCCGGGCCCGGGTCGCGGAAGGTATTGAGCGTAAAGGTGGGACATGTGCAGTTCCAGGCGTGCAGGCGGACTTCGTAGCCCTTTTGCTCTAAGCGTGTCCGGGGAGCCCGGGATGGAGAGGTCGGCGCGGCCGCAGACGTGGATATGACATAGAACATGTCTTCTTGCGGTCTTTCTGTGTTCCTGGGGTCGGTTTCTTCAGGCTGTGAGCATGCAGATGCTTGCCCGACGTGGTCATCCCGCGTGAATCGCCTGACCAGTCCCCTGTCCAGGATATCTAGGGCCAGGAGCAGTTCATTTGGGAAGAAACAGTGCAAGGTCAGCATAACTGACTTGACTTGAGATAATTGAGCCTCGGGGAGGGAAGAGAAAGGTGACTGGCTTGTGGAAGTGTGTCGTTGAGGACGTATGGCGGGATGGTCCATCCCATCGCCGGGATCCTGCACTTCGGGCCTACATGATGCGAGTTGTGAAATCAGTCGGTCAATGAACTGGGTAGTTGAAGGTAGGCTTCTGTGGTCATCTTCCAGCGCTGACTCCATGGAAGTACGTATGCTTGATGGAAGCTCTCTGCTTGTCCAGGTAGATGATGAAAAAGCTCGGATGTCGTCAATTAAGTCCCCACTTACCATAAGAACAACTTATGACTATCTCGCTTTTTTACAGGTACTGAACTTCACTGTAAAAGAAGTCAACAAGTTATAAGTAAGCATTGTCTATCATACATAAAACACATGCGGAATATCAGTTACACAAGGAACAATAAGGACCGCAATCATTGCAGGGGCGGAAATGTGAACATCAGCTCCAACCATGTATACTTGCTCTGCGTATTATACCCAGTCGATGTGGCTTTGCACTCTTTATTTTTTAGCCTTACTGCGGAGTCTCGCCGATTGACGAGTTCCTTTCGGCGGACTCGAGGGTTTCTTTGTGACACCTTTCGGCTTGGCTGCTTTCCCGGACACTGTGTCTGTTGCTTTCTTGGTACCAGTACCGGAATCTTTGGTGTCTGCAGTCTTTGAAGGCCCTCTCCTTGGCTTCTGCACTCCCCGTGGTTTGAGCGACATGGTCACTTGTCCCTCGAGGATCTCGCCGGTGTCTTCTGAAGTGAACGTGAGCTGCAGAGTAGCACGCTGCGTTCTTGCTCGGGGCCCCAGAGCCACAAGTGCACCTTTACCTGGGTCCAGGAGCAGCTGCTGGTTGATCGTCCATTGGATGGACCTCCCTTCCAGCTCAATGGTCCCTTTCATTTGTACACCACCCTCGGCCGACCCTTTTCCTGAGACTGATTCATTCGATGAGCCGGCATTGGATTGCCCTGAAGGGGCCGAGCTCTGGCCAGTGGTTGATGCTTTGGGGTTGGAGGACGTGACAGCGGCTGATGAACCTGTATTGGAGTCAGTTGAATTGCTCTGGGTTTCCAGTCGCCGATACGCAAGTATGTAAGCATTCTCCTTTCCAGCATCTGGCGAGCTCATGCTCTTTTCCAGTGTCTGGGTAAATGTCACGCGGTTGTCGTTGGTCATCACCCATTCACCAGAGGGACCCTTGACGGCCGCAGTATAGTGTCCGCTTTTACTGTCATCACCGATATGAAAGATGACAGCATAGAGCTCGTAGCCGATCTTGCCTTGTCCCTTAACACTGTCATCTAGAAGAGAATCTGGAATGACTAACTCTCCCCGAACTTCAATTTCGTCTTTCAGTTTCCCTGACTCTTTGTATCGATTGATCTGAACGATAAGGATTTCTGAAGGAAATACTATCTGAGTCTGAAGCTCATGAGGGCTCTGTTTAGTGGCGCATGTCTTGCAATCCGCAAGAGTCTCCGACTTCATGCCACTAATGATGGCCTCCTCTATGGGAGTAGCTTTCTTGGAGCCTGGGAGATCTGCATTGAGGTACCGTACCCTATCCCCAACTGTTGAGTCTTTCTGCTTGCAAGTCTTGCAAACGCGAGACCCGCTCAGTGCCACGGTCATCAAATCCATGAGCTCGTCATTGCTTTATTTGTCAGCTTTACGATAATTATGTTCTATGGGACGCGGAAAGTGCGCGACTTACTAGGGTTGGCTTGTGTGCCTTTGGAGGAGCGAGATGATGTTTTCCAGCATCTCAAATGTGTCATGCTGCTGGCCCAGGGTTGTTTGCCAGCACAATTGGCCGTACTTTGGACTCTGAAGTTCTGTCCACAAGCTCTGCATCGCCTGCTCACGCCGGTTGGGACATTGCCAGTAGGCAATGAACATGTCGTACAATTTGCGAACCACGTCTGGGACT